ACGCATTGGTATTTGCAATAAATATTAACACATTTTTCAGGAATCAAAATGTGTAAATGAATCGTTTAATGAAAGGCCATTTATAGTGCTTTTTCTGGGACTAATTGGGTTGGGCATCGGTCGTACAATGCCTTGGTCACTCGGAATACCAATGATCGATGACAATGTCTCCAACAAAAATCTTCCGGCATTTTTTGGTAGGCTAATCCCTGTTCATTTGTATTAAGAACTGCACTGCAATTTATTCGGAGCAAGAATGGACTTAGCTACGGTATATTCAGAAAACTGTTTTTGGCGCCATCCTAGTTTTTCCATCGTTTTCTGGCTAATTCAATACGCGGATATTATCTACTTCAGATTATTCTAGGTTTCTAGTAATGCTAAACTTATTCTGACTAAATTTGGAATCTCCGATTAAATCTGTTGGATACTATACCGTTAAATTTTTTTTTCTGTTGATGGTGAGCGAGCAAATATCATAGCCTTGTTCAATCTCTGCATAATGTATAAAATCTAAAAAATGCATTTTTCTCCCCTCCACAACAAGTGAAGAATTTTAGTTTTGCGATGTAAGTTGTTTTTCACCAACTAAAATTATTAGCAGGTTTTTTTTTTCTAAATGCATTTACGCTGGCAAACGGGAGTCGTATAGTGCTAGTAAAATGTTAGTATTTCTCGATTAAATCAGCTCAGAATGTTTGAAAATTTATTAAAAAACGCATATTTTTAAAAGGCCTGAAACTTGAAAACAATTTTCAGCCTTGATGACTTCTGACCTTTGATCTTAAAGCAATTTTTAATTCGAAAATAAAAATCAGTAATTCATGAAGCAGCAAACTTAAATTTCGACATAAATTTTGAAAAGCACTGTTGCAAAAGGGAGCACAACCTTAAACTCATGTTGATCCGAAGCTCAATAATTTCAATTCAGCACAGAGTTAATCCACAAGTTTTCAAAATGTGATGATTGAATTTACCGCACTATACAGATAGCAAGCACAAAACGAATGCTTGTAATTTTGGACTGAAGTTTCGCATAGTTGCGCTAGGAGTGTCAATGCTTTCCT